CAAATGACAGTAAAGAGTCTGAACTGAGAAATGCAGTGGGAGACCTGAGTCACCATGTGGCACACACAGCACCTGCCAGGTGTATGCGGAACTCAAAAGAACCTGCGAGACAGCACTCCGTACCGTTATCATGTTACAAGTGACAGTTTTGTTTTGGTGAAACGTCATCATCCATTATATTTTACTAATGTTATTTTAAATTTTATTGGTTTTATAGTTTTGCTTGTATCTATCTATAAACTTCTTTGGGTTTTATACTTGTGCTAGAGCTATAAGCATAAAGCATTACATGTAGCTTTATGTTTATATATACTTAGGTAACAATAAATAATGTAAAAACGGAGGAACTCAGAGAGCCTTTCCTTATTAAAAGGGGATGTGCATTATTCAAGTTTGAGAAACATGGCTCAATACTGTACTGCTTGTGTGCGTGGGAGTCAGCAGGTCACTTAACCTCTCTATCACCATCTACCTCATAGGATTTGTAGGATTAAGTGAGATAATGAATATGAGTTACTGGCCCACCGAAGGGATTACGACAGTTGTGTCTCCTCTCCTTGAAACAGGGAAAATATGGAACCTGAATATAGTCTGCGCTCTTTTACTTGTGGTCTTGGGGTATCAGGAGTATTGATGGTCACCCAAACTTGTTAGAAACTAGAATCCCAGGCTCCACCCCAGAGCTACTATATCAGAATCTGCATTTTAATAATACTGCCAGCTGATTTAATATATGCACATTAAAGTTTGAGAAGCACTAGTCTAGGTCCCCATAGAGAAGGCTGACAGTAAAATTTACTGCATTTTGTACCACTACAGAGGTTAATCTCAGTGATTAGAGAAAAGCCAGGTGTAAATGACCAGAACAGACTGTCCTACCCTGGGGTTCAATACAAACATTACCATTTTACTACTGGTTCTTCACAGGCTCTATTTGCACAGAGAGGATCCTCTTTAAATGGAATTTAACTTGGGGCGCCTGGGTGGCTCAGTTGTTGAGCGTCTGCCTTCGGCTCAGGTCATGATCCCAGGGTTATGGGATCGAGCCCCGCATCGGGCTCCCTGCTCAGCGGGAAGCCTGCTTCTCCCTCTCCCACTGCACCTGCTTGTGTTCCCTCTCTTGCTGTGTCTCTATCAAATAAATGAATAAAATCTTTTAAAAAAAAATAAAATAAATGGAATTTAACTTCTAATTCAGAAAGACTAAAATAAATTTTTCAATGCAAAGTATTCATAAAAGCATTGTGAATTCTGAATAAACAAATTTTAAGATGTCAATAAAACATTTTTAAGTCTCCTGTGCCCAATAGCAATTAAAACCATTTATGTATGTTAAGCTCATAATTAAATATTTCGGCCCACCAGAACTGGTCTGACAAAGTGCTGGCTCAGTTTATAATGGCTGTGTGCTTACACTAGCAAAACACATTGCAAAAAAAAAAAAAAAAAAAGTATGACTGTGTATACAAAATGTATTAATTTTAACCGTTCAACAAAAATACTAGGTCACATTTAGTAGTTACGATTTTGTTAGTGTAATTCACCTAGAGAATATCTATGTTTTTCTCCTTCAACTCAGTGGCCCTATACATCTACTTAAAAAGATTACTTACTTCACTTAAAAAGATTAGATACCATTCCTGGAAGCAAAGAAAACAAAATTAACAACTAGTATCCAAGAGAGCCACTAATATATAAAATGACCTTGATGTCATCTGCTTAAGGGCTTTTTTGATAGAATCCAAGCTTGAACTATGTTATTTATTGCTCTATGTTCTCTACATATGGGCCACAGAAACCACATTCGAAGAATGTAATGCAAAGTAGATTACCATGCGCGTGTATACACACATATACGCATATGTATATATGGTTTGGCCTACTAGGCAATTCTTATATTCTCTGCGCTTCTGATATGACCTAGTCAAAGGCAGAGTCCTCCCAAGAGTCAATCATATACCATGAAGTATATTATAAGTGCCAGTATAGGTAAAACACTCTACTGCATGTTGACTGATGATTTTAACTTAGTAAGAGAACAACAATTTGAAACTCACTGGTCAACTCCAATTTTAGAGGTGTATATGCTATTTTGCAGTCTTTTGGGTCCTTAATACAAACAATCCACTGTTCTTAGAACCATAATAATCCTTCTCTTTCTAGTACTTCAAATTCTAATAATTTCTAGTCATATATTAATCAATATAAACTCTATATATACATACACAGACAATCAAGGGAAACACAAAGAGTGATTTTTAGCTTATACTGAAACTACATTTTATCACTTTCCTATTAGCAATTGCAAAGAAAAGAAACCATTACCTACAGTTTGAATTCACTGAATGATATCTCAGCAAACAGAAAACAGGAAGAAATAGGCAAGCCATGTTTTTCTACTAGAGTGGTTATACGTATCCCTCTCTAGAAATGCAAGATATTTTAATCCTTCCAGATTTCAGATATTTGATAAAAAATCTATACCCATTTTTCCTATCAAAAATACTCTAAAAATCCTGTTCTTTAGTCTCAAACTAATTGAATCTCTTTGAAAAAATAAACATATTAGAGTACTAGCCAATGAAATAAGATGTATATTAAAGAAAAGAAAATCTTAAACCACTTGGTCTCTAAGCCTTAAGAGAGTCTAATAAAGACAGTTTTTTCCAAGAGGTTTTTTTCGCTATCAAGAAACCTGGATATAGATGAGTTAAGAAGAACCAAATATATGCTGAAGAAATGTACTTGTTTAAGAAAATCCTATTATGCCTTGCATGAATTAATGAATTCACTTAATATTTTGTACGTTTTCTTCCTCAACTAGCACTGGCATGACCAAAGTTTAATTTAATTAAGGATTTGGTGGTGCTTTGAATTAACATCAGATGCTAGTACTCATCTCCACCCAGTCATCCTTTTATCCTCTAATGTGTCTCTGAGAATGGCATGTGTTCTCCAGGCAACCCAATCTTTGACAAAGGCAGATATATAGAACACTACATAATCATTTCACTATCAAGGTCACTATGTTCCTTCGGTAGGATTTAATACATTGAAACAACTTCATTACCTAACACTTAAGACAGCTATAAAAGCATGAACTTGGTCCCATACCAAATTTAGTTTCACTGAGAAGTACAGCCCTTATTTTTAGTCACCATTAAATTATGAAATGCGGTTGGTATATTTACAGTTCCATACTACCTTAATACCCTAGGACATCAACTGAATGAGAATCTCACTATATATAGAATCCTGCTTGTGTTACTAGACATTAATATACTCGTATAAAGGGACATTCTTTCAAAATTACTGCCTATAAGAAATTCTACACATCAATTTTCTTTCTTTCAAATGGCAAAGTAGCTTGCAGCCTCTATTATCTATAGAGGAAATGATTCAGGCCAAATGCCAATTTGAGATAGCCAAGTCCACTTTCAAAAAAGAAAAGCTGGCATATTTTTATAACTGCTCCTAGTGCAAAGATACCTCAAATATGATCTAACAATAGACTGGAGAAGATGAAGCTAATTTTTCAGATTTTTAAAGTTCAAGGCTTAAGGGATTGAAAGTAGTGCTGTTTGAGAGGAAGCTTACTGTAGACATCTGACTGGCTGTCTGGATCTGATGACCTAGGGAACGTAACAGGAAACCCTTACCCAATAAGCATATACAAGGAGCAAGTGGCTTTGATTTCTGACACAAAGCAAATGTGTCCAATTCATGCAAAAAGATATGAGCACTTATTGAAGGAATGTAAAGCCCCTTCTTGTTTGTAGGGGAAAACAGAGGATGGGGCTAATACAACTATAGGGGGATTTCTCTGTCATAAAAGAATTATGTTTCCTCTATCCACTGAAGAATTAATTTGGGCACAGAGGAATAGGACCTTTGGAAGCACTGATCCTGAACAAAGAACAGTTCTACTTTTTCTTCTCTGAACTGCCAATGTACATGATGGAGTGAGGGAGATGGGGGGGCGGGTGGGTGTAGGAATCAAAAGGAATATGAAGACACCCAGATGGAAATGATACTGGTTTGACCTCAATTCAAGAAGAAATGTTTAAAATGGCTAACAGATGCCTCTTGTTAAAGTGTAGCACTGGGGGAGGAGGAGGCTAGAAGAAATTCTGGACAAAGTAGGAAGGAGGTCTTCAGGGTTGGGATTTTTTATTTTTATTTTTTTTTTTTAAGATTTTATTTATTTGCGAGAGAGAGAATGAGAGACAGAGAACATGAGAGGGAGGAGGGTCAGAGGGAGAAGCAGACTCCCTGCTGAGCAGGGAGCCTGATGTGGGACTCGATCCTGGGACTCCAGGATCATGACCTGAGCCGAAGGCAGTCGCTTAACCAACTGAGCCACCCAGGCGCCCTGGGATTTTTTAGTAACAGCTCTTGTCGTAAGACAAGAAAAGTCACTCAAAAGGTGCCAAGGACAAGAGGAGTGCTTGGTAGTACCCCCAAGTACATTTATTATCATTTAAAAACTAACTGAAGCGACACCTACACAAACTCCCCTAGCATTTTGCATCCAAAGACATCACAAGCCCTTTCTAAATGTTAGCCTTATGATACCTCTGTGAGGTCGGTATCATAATCCTAATTTTTATTCATAAGCGAGCTAAGGCACAAATAGAGCCTGAGTGGCAACAGCAGTCTGGAATTCTGTTCACTGCAACGCACTTCCCCCATTTTGACATAGGCAACTCAAGAGACACTGTGAGGAAATGTCCTTAGAGGGAGTAGCTATAAAGCCCAACAAAATCACAACTCTGGGGAGACAGCACCCTCTCTAAAGGCTCACTGATGGAGTCTAGGAGATGCCTTTCGCATAAGAGTACTAATGAGTGCAGCCTTTTAGAAAAAGGACACCAAATCACCCATGATTAGAGGAAAAAGGCGGAAGATACAGTCTTCTTGTTTTCCCCCACTGTTGACACCAGAACAGTGACAATCTTAACAAATCATATAATCCAAAATCTTAATCTTCACTGGTGCAGTAAGATTCTAAGACCTATATTTTGCTAATGATTTCAATGTTTTGATCAGATACATCTCCACATCCTTGATCCCAGACAATTCTATTTTACCATAACCGAATTATCTGTATAAAATGTAATGCCAGGATCTGAAGCAAACAATGCTTATGGTCAGCATACATTGGTTCTATATATTTTGAGAAACACTTAAGTACACAAAGGAAGCATACAATGTTAAAGAGATGGCGTGAACAATATTGGCGGCTTGTCTAAAGGAAAATCCAGTGTCCTTTCAGGAAACTGAAGATACTCAAAAGTTGCTCCCCAATTTCTATTAACAACCCTCTAAAAATGAACATTTTCATTTGATACAAATATACAAATTTAAAATAAGTGTGCAGTTCAGAATGGCCTACTATTGTCAGATTGCTTATGTGCCAGAAAATATACAGTCAATAAAAAAATACCAGAGAGGTGGGGACAAAAGGCTCTCTGGATCTGAACAGCAAAAATGAATTTCACTTCAACAGGTAGCGATTCGTGGAGAAAGTGACGTCCTTGGAAACCAGTAGAACTAAAAGATGGCAGGTCACAAATCTGGTGATGGGGGATAAGATGTATAGTAAGGCCCATTTTCCTGTGGAAGAAAAAAAAGACAAGAACATTAAGTAATAAAACCAATTTAAATAGGAATGTGAAAGAAAAGGATTTATAATCAATGATATTGTGTATGTATCGTGTATTCCATTCTACTACCATATTTTTTTAGGTTTTCCTAATCTACATTAAATTGTGATAAAGTATGAAGGGCAAATCTAATTCTTAATGCTATGAAATAAAGCTTTTTATATTAGTCTCATACTGTGCAAAAGACTGCCAAGCAATCTATTTTCTCTATTTCTGGAAACAATCTTAGAACTTTGAAGAACTGTTGCCAGGCAAATTTGTATACTCTCTTCTTTGACTATATTTTGTATCTGTAAGAATGCTCACTAGCAGCCTTTCTGAAATGGTCTCCGTAACATTTTGATATAGAGAGATAAAAATTATCTTCTAATTACCTTCAAAGGTTCCTTTCATTCCCATAAAACTTATGTCACTGTTCTAAGTCACACAAGACCCAGAAAATAGCCCACTGAAACCAGCCAACAATGACACATCATGCCCTGTCATACCTACTATGTGCAAGGCACAACTGAACAGGACAATAAATTAACCAATTCCATACTCATTTCCTTTTCTCTGATTATATTTTTCATTTTCCTAGCAAAGGCAAATATTTCCTTACAAGATAATATCCAACCACCTACAGGATCTCCACCTCAATCCTAGTGTGTCACAAACTGAACATACCACCTGTCTCTTCTCTCCCACCCGCTCAACACCCTTACCCCCAATGCTCATCCTCCAAACTGCCTCTCTGGGGTGGCAGCAATACCATCCACCAAGTCTCCTACAGCAGAAATTTTGGTAGTCACCTTAGGCATCCTTCCTCTTTCATCTCCCCTAATGGTTTACTCAGTCACCAAATGCTGTGGATTTTTTTTCCTAAAATGTCTACTTCTAAATCTAAGATCTTCAAGTCATTGCCATTATCACTACTGCTGCCCTAGCTCTAGTCTCATTTCTCCTCTGACTTTCTGATAGCCTCTTACTTGTCTACCTGCCTAGACTGTTAACCTCTCTAGTCACTTTCTACGCTGTTTCTTTTGCCATCATTCTAAACAGAAATATAATGGTAGGTCTCCCTTGTGGAATATTCCCCATAGACCACAAAGCCAAAGTGCTGCAAGTAACACGTAAGGCTCTAAGTATCCAGTGACTTGCCCTCTGCCGGCCCTTCCCATATCATCTCCTGACACCTTCGTTTCTTCCCTGTTTTTATTTCTCTCTTTGGCCTTTATATACAGACGGCCTAATATCTCAATTTTAGAAAGCTCTAGTACAGGCACAGAGAGATGATCCAATCACCCAAGAGTTAGATGTATAGGTTTTTTTTTTTTTGAGATTTTATTTTATTTGAGAGAGTGCACGTGAGTGCACGGGTGGGGGGGAGCAAAGGGGGAGGGAGAAGCAGGCTCTTCCCTGAGCAGAGAGGCCAACACACGGCTGGATTCTAGGACCCTGAGATCACGAACTAAGCCCAAGGCGGAGGCTTAACCGACTGAGCCACCCAGGCGCCTCGAGATTATAGGTTATTTTATTCAATTTTGATTAATCACATCACTTGACATACAAAATATAAGAAAAATATAAGAAAAACCTAAAACAAGCACACAAACAAAAAGTTTGAGTGTGGTGTTGATACTTAATGAAAGTCGGCTTTATAGGCCCTTAAGTATATAGAAAATGTGCTGGCTTAAAAACCAGCCATTTGGGTTTTCTAACCAATGCAATCCAACTTGTATATTATACCCTAGAAAATAAATTATAAATCCAGACACTAGCTTTGAATTGCCATTCGAAATTTTTGATCACAAAATGTCTTTTAGTGTCTTTCATTTCTTGCTATCCTTTTTTTTTAATTATTAAGAAGAGAGATGTATACTTCAAAAGAGTAACAGTAAGGCCATTTTCTACTCTGGCAATCTACAATAAACACAAATTGATGTTCTTCCCCCCCCCAATATATTCAATAATTTTTGTATCTATGATTCAGCTTCTTCAATTACAAATCCTCTCTGTTCTAAAGCCAAGCATGAAATTTTATTAGCCATTAGAACACATTAAATACTTTGCTCTTCACATAAAGGAAGACAGAAATTATTGCTGAAGTTAAAGAAATGGTACAGAGAAAATGTCTTGCAGAATATTTATTTTAGTGTATACATGCTGTACAATAATTAGGGAACAACAATTCATTTCAAACTGAATATAACCTTCAAATATATTCCCTGATTCATGCATAAAGATACGTAATCAGCAACAGTTAGATAAGGAGACTGATGATCTTTTGGCCATGCATGTTACTTTTTTTTTTTTTTAACTACTAAAGTGGTAGCATGAATAAACAAATGGGGGATGGAGCTTTAATGAAATTCAAGAGTAGCCCTTTATCAGTGTTTAAATAATATATTCATAAATGCATCTATAAGTAATAATACTAATACTACTGGTTGATACTCTTAAAAACATTATATAAACTTTTAGCAAAATGAAACCTTTAGTAGGGTAAAGGCTACTAAGATAGCCCACTGTTTTGAATTAATGCTGAAAATGTCACACACCAACAGATTCTTCTGATTCTACTTATGTAGATAAAAAGTTAATCAATCTTAAGAAAATCAGGCAGAGGTGGTAGAAAATGGACAATATAAGCAAGGATTGGCTTCAAACCAACAGCAGGAAAATCTCCCAGTGAAAAGTTTACTGGGGAAAAAAGTCCTCTCTTAGGACAAAGTGTTTTCCTAGTTACTGTAGGAAAAGAATGTTAAATGATACTATCAAGTTTACTAAAACCTGCTAATGGCATTCATATCATCTTCTAATCAAAGCATGTTGTGCTCATCAGCAGTGTCCTATAGAACAGCTAAGATACTGCACCAGGTGAGGGAGAACTCCTGGTACTTCTTACCCTGGCATCATATTCAAGGACAAAAGGAGGAAAGTCAATCTGTTCTGGTGATATGGCAGAGAATAGCTGGTGGAGGCTGTCCACATGGTGGATTTTGTCCTTCAGTCCTGAGACAGAAAAGGTGGTAAAAAACCATGTTGATACCTGATTAATAGAAGAGAAAAACAATTTCAGCCAGTGGCCAAAGTTAGAAATATAAACATGATTTTGAAAATTTATACTAGGTAGAAACTATATTTCAAAATTGAAACTGATGTCAGAAAAAGCTTATAATAAGTAATGTTTTTCAAAGTGTGGGTTGTAGTTCATCAGTGAATTATGCAATCAGTTTAATGGATTATGAAGAGCAGTAAAAACAATAAAAAGGAACCACACTAGAGTAACAATTACTGGGGAAGCTAGTAAGGGTGGGCGAAGTGTTTCATGAAGCTTGTGTTTCTGTTTAGGTGTCTGTATGCTCCTACACGTGTAGTACATTGTCATGTAATAGATGCTTCTTACTGTGGGTTGTGGGCAAAATCCCCTGCATTATTTGGTAGAATAATTGTTTCATTGCTACTCTAAAAATGATTAACATCTCCAAATTCACAAACTCTTTTCATTTTTTCAAATGAGACTAAAAGAAAAGTTTGCCAATATTTGATACATTTATTTTTCAGCTGACATTTGGCATGTGGTCTCTTTCTTAACCAATCAAAGCAAATCCTCTGTGGCTGTGGAGCCACCTTTGCTCATTTCACTTAACAACATGCAATCCCTCTATAAAAGCTAGTCTGCAAAATTTGTTGGCTCCAAAAAAAGAAAAAAAAAATTCTTAATAGCAAACAACACTGACATAAACTAGGCAACAGCTAGAACTCACAAATTAGCGTTCATCTATCTAAACTGCCAATCTAATTAGTCATGTTTACCAGTGGCTTACACAACCGTTCTATGAGGTAGATACAATATTATTGCTATCCCCATTTTATTTACAGAAGGAAACACGTGCATATGGACATGGGCACTGGAATAGTGCATTACAAATGTATAACTGGGTATGTTATACATACACGACACTCTGGGCATCTGCCACTGATGCCAATCTTATCACATTTGCCAGGGGCTGTTCCAAACCTTTCACATATTCCATGCCCCTAATATGACATGCTTCCTTTGTACCTCTTTATGAGAAAAGGCATGAAAAGAACAGAGACAACACTGCACTAACTTATCAAGATCCTGTCCAAATCTGCACTTGGTAGAGACTCATTTCCAGCATTATTTGTCCCTTACATTAAGCTCCAGATTATCTCTTCTACTGAGTTCATAATACCTGAAATTTCCATTGCATTTGGAGCACTTATTCCTTCTTCCTAGTATTTCAGCTTCTTATGTCCATTTCTATAATTTCCCTAGGACTTGGCAGACAATCATAGAATAATAGTCTAAAGTTTTATAAGATACAGACAGAACCATCATTTTCAAAGTATTTGATAAAGAATGAGTAAATAAAGGTATCTACAATGATTTTTATAGCCTGAGTCACTATTCTATTTTGGCTATACTACCAATGACTGGCATAAGGCCTAAAATATTAACATTACCCTCTGCATCCTCTCCCCTCCCCTGTTATCAAGTTTATTTGGAGGGGGGTGATGGAGGGGAGGGGAGGAACCTGATGTTGCTAGAACCAGGCAGGTTAATTTAAATCAAATTATACAGTCACTTACTTACATACCCCGAATCAGTTTTTGACATCAGTTTCTTGAAAGCACACACGTTATATACCTAATTAATATAAACTTCTGCAAACTAGATTAGTGACACTTCCAGATTAGGGCTCTACAACCAGCCACAGAGGCAGCTAATAAACCAGTAAGAGCTATGGAGAGGTCACAGAGATTTTGCAGATTCCAGAAAGAACTTAAGGGAATAGGAAGACTGTAGCGTCTGAACAGAGAAGCACCCGAAGGCCATGTTAAGAGATTAAACATGTGTGCAAGGAGTTAAACATCTACTGGTCACCTGCGTACTAAGCACTGAGTTGTAGGTGATACAGGATAACAATGATAGCGCCATTCTTCTCAAGGGGGCTTGGATTCTAGTACAGGAGTCAGATTATAAGCATAAGCATAACAACGACCTAAGGCAAAATGTACTAAATGCAATGAATGGCCCACAGAAACATGTGAATACCTATATATGCAAGGAGCCCCTGCTACGTGGAAAAAGGGAGAAAAATACAGAACTATAAGGGCCTAAGCAGAAAACTCTTGTGCCTTTGTTCTCTTGCCTCAGAAGCTTTTTACATGCTGCTTTTCTATGCCTGGCAATTGTTCTTCAGAGCTCAGATCAAAATTCACCGCAGTTAGGAGGCCTTCTTTGACCACCCTCCACCCAAAACTAGAAAGGAGCTTCTAAATGTTCCAACAAACACTTTGTTTACTCATGTTATTGCATAATTAGCATTCTGTATTGTATTATCTGATTCTCTAAAGAGAATGTCTTATTCAATACCATATTCAGTGCGTAATTAATGCCCAACAAAAAAAGTAAGGAATTTAATGTGTTGGAAGAATTAACAAGTGGAGGAGTGAGAGTTCCTGAGTGTATTATTTTACTACTGTTTAGGAATGGTTTACTATTTCTTCATTCTACAATAAAAATACATTGTACTTCAATCTGCACCTCAGTTTTTTTCTCTCTAAAATGAGCAAGTTAGACTTACATGATCTTTAAGGTCCCTCTTAAGTTTTACAGTTCTAGGCAAGGACTCCTGCATATGCCACACCAAACGACATGGTGGGGTGGCGGTGGTAAACTCAAAGAGAAGGCTGGGTTGGGGAGACTAGGCAGTGACCTCAGGCATACAATCTGAGAAGGAGAAACACATTTCTCTATCCCATTTTCTGCCATTACCTCCTTCACATCCTCCGGGTATTGGGAAGAGAAAATTACTCAAAGTAGACAGAAGGAGAAACCCAGTTAGAAGTTTTCTGTTCAGGGACACTCAAGAGCACTGTCTTTGCTTTTTAAAATTTTAGTTTTAGGGCGTCTGGGTGGCTCAGTTGGTTAAGCGACTGCCTTCGGCTCAGGTCATGATCCTGGAGTCCCGGGATCGAGTCCCGCATCGGGCTCCCTGCTCAGCAGGGAGTCCGCTTCTCCCTCTGACCCTCCGCCCTCTCATGCTCTATTTCATTCTCTCTCAAATAAATAAATAAAATGTTTAAAAAAAATTTTTAGTTTTATATAGCTTAGCTTTTAATTTTCAATTATTTGTAAGTCACAAATGTACATTTACGTAAACTTGCATTACTTAGTATCTACTATTTTAATGAGCTGATGAAAATTTAAACTTTGAAAACGGACTGCTGTGATATTTTGTGAATGCTGCAAATTCTTTCACCCAATTACTCACAAACGCAAAGCCAAGAGCATAGGATCACAAAACAATATAAACTAGGAAAAGACTGTTCACACACATGTGCACTAAAATAATCTACTGGAGCCAGAATCAAGAGTGGGTTTAACTTGTTAGTTTGCCTTGTATTAGTAAACTTCAAAGAAGTAGTGATTTCTATGAGCAGTCAATTTATTACCACTTTGGGTGGAGTGCCCTGGAAAAGATCTGAGGAGTACTGAAATCAGAACAGTGTGATTCGATTGTTTTATTATCCTTTGATTTCATCTCATTATTTTATAATTACAAACACCCCATTTAGAGTTTTTGACTTAGTATAAAATAACGGTGGATTTCATTACACATGGTTTTACTCTCTCAATCCTCCCTCATTTTCCCCACCCCAAAATGTTATGAAGAGGTAACAGAGCGCTTTTCACTTTATACATCTGGTCTTCAGCCTCTGCCCAGCCTGCCACTGACTCCTATCTGAAGCAATTCCAATGTGTGAGAGCCAAGGCTAGTGGCTCTAACACTGAAATTTCTGGTAATGTGCTTCCATCAATGTCGCAGGGTGGATAGCTATTTAGACTCTCTACTGTGGAGGAGGAGGGATTCAAGTCATATCTTAGCAAATAGTGGCTACACAGTTTTGTAAGTCTGGTACAAAGGAACACTATTCTGATAAATCTGAATTTGTAGCAGAAGTAAAGAAAATTACGAAAATGTTCAAATATGTTAAAAGAATTTTTTTACAGTGAACACCAGTATAGCCACCACTCAATCATTCACGTTTTCCTTATGTTTTCTTTAACACATATCTACCCATCCCTCTGTCCATCTGCTGATCCATCTTACTTTTTTGCTGCATTTCCAAGTAAACTGCAGACGTCAGTAAGCTGTCCCCAAATACAGCATTCATATCTCTAACTAGAGTTCAAAGTTTGTTTAGTTTCTTTGCTATAAAATTTACATTTGATGAAGCGCACAGATTTTAAATGTCCTTTGCTCTTTAGGCAAATACATACTATATATATTAAACTCCTACTCAGGTATAAAACACTTTCGTCACCCCAGAAAGTTCCCTCATGCTCCTCTTCCCTTATGGCCCTCTCCACAGAGGCAAACGACATTTTGATTTTTTTCTACCATGGATTAGTTTTGTCTGCTCTAGGATTTCATATAAATGGAATCATACAGCATAATTTTTATATAAGGGTTCTTTCACTCAGCTTAATGTTTTTAAGATTCTTGTGTGTGGTTTTGTATGTCAGTAGTGTGTTCTTTCATTGCCAAGAAACACTCTATTATGAGAACATGCTAGAGCTTAATTATTCATAATTCTATTGATGGGCACCTGGGCTGTGTCCAGTTTTTGGCTGCTCTGACTAAAGCTGCTATGAACATTCTTATACAAGTCTTTTTTGGCACATATATTTTCATTTCATTTGGGTAAATACTTAGCAGTGGCACTGATGTGTCATTGATGAGGTATATATTTAGTTTTTAAGAGATTTTCATAACTGTTTTCAAGGTAGTTGCCCAATTCCCAATTCCTACTTATGATGTAGGAGAATTCCAGTTGCTTCACATCACTGGCGATATTTGGCACTGCCAGTCTTTTAAATTTTGCCTATTCTGGTGGCACTGTAGTGGTCTCTCACTGCAGTTGTTTTTAAAAAAATGTATCTTTTAAGTAAGATATAACTGATACACACTAAGCTGCACATAACTGAAGTATACAATTTGTTAAGTTTTGATA